CCTGTCTCAAAACATCTCACATGCCCCGTAAATATATACACCTACTGTGCACCCACAAAAATTTTAAATTAAAAAAATAAATAATGATGAGTTCAAAGAATTTTGAGTTAGCAGAATTTTTTTTTTAATGTTTCAATGTTCCAAAACAAAGTCAATTCTCAGTAACCGAGAAGAAAGGGTCTTAAAGGCTACATAGCCACTTCCGAACTGGTTAAGGATGACCACTCTAGCATCTGAATATCTCAAGTAATGAAGAAATAATTACCCTACATCCCTGGAAAGTATTAGTACAATATTAAAACTGCAACTGTAAAATCAGATCCATTCCCTTACCCTTATTGAATTATCATAAACTAGGTTTTATGAATATGAACTAACTTTCAAACTGAAATTATTCAGAAAGAATACAACAATATTTATTGAATATAATCTCCAAAGTCAGCATAACTACTAGTGTGGATGTGACATTATATACAATCCAATCTACGTCATTGAAATTTTTTCATTTGTTCACTTTATTTTGTCTATCCAAGTTCATTATTTTTCCATTTCTACTTCACTCAGTGCGTATTTACTATTCTTGGTTCAATATTTTATAATATATGACCTCATTACAGGGGCACATTATATCCTAGCTACCTAATATCCTCCAGGTTTATCCCTCATTATTTCAATATAATTGTTCATAGCACCCTTTTCACTCTCAAATGTATCCTAGTTTGGATGACAAATTTATGTTCAAAGATAGTAAAGTTTACTTTTTTTTTCCAGACAGAGCCTCGCTCTGTTACCCAGGCTGAAGTGCAGTGGCACGATCTCGGCTCACTGCAACCTCCGCCTCCTGGGTTCAAGTAATTCTCCTGCCTCAGCCTCCCAAGTAGCTATGATTACAGGTGTTTGCCACCACGCCTAGCTAATTTTTTGTATGAAGTATTTTTTAATTGTACCAAAAATCTTCACAAATTAAGCTCGGAATCCCCCGCCCTGCATTTTCCAGTCTTTTCAATTAGTAAGCTTTGATTTTCTTGTGAAATTACATCTTCTTGACTGTGGAGTATTTTTAAGGCAATGAGTAGCTGGTCTGTGCTGAGAACAAACACCTCCACAGAGGCTGGAACCAGGACCTCCACGTGGACAGAGTGACCCGTGGTCAACTGACTGTCACTTTCATTAACATATTGACAGCCAGAGAAAACCTTTCTAAGACAGGCCCAGCACGGTGGCAAAAGATATTCTCATATCTGAGGAAGCCTCGGCCATGTTTCTTTAATCTCTGAGTGCCTCAGTTTATCTGCCTATAAAGGAGCACAATGATGCCCACTACACAGGGCGGGCGCTCTAAACATCAAAGGGGTGAGAGCCAAAGGGCACTCACAGCCACCAAGAACAAAGACAGGAAGTAATTGCAAAATGTGTGGCTCCACTTCCAGCTTGCAAGCAGAGGGCTCCCACTGACTTGAAAGAGAGCATCACACACAGGCAGGAGAAGCCCCCAGGAGGACCAAGCCTATTACCTTTGTTCTCATTGTCTGAAAGGGCAGAGGAGAGGGAGAGCCACAGAGGAAGCTAAGAATGGTGGGGGCAGAAAAACAAGACCAGAAGAAAAACTAACTGTTGGGCTACAAAAGAAAATCTGTGAAGACTGTAGGCCAGGGACAGTTTCTAAGGAATCATCTATCTATTCTCTGATCCCTTGATATGACCCATTCATGCATTTCTCACATTGGAATGCCTTTATCCCACACTCTATCTGTCCTTCCTGACATTTCACATTCTAATCTAAAAGCTTCATGGCAGTTCAATAGTCATTTGTAGAGCGGATTAAATTTCAAAGTTCTTATGTTGGTAGCATTCTAAAGGTAAGGTATATTCAAATGATTAACCAATAGATAATGACATTGTGGCCAGGTGCAATGGCTCATGCCTGTAATCCCAGCACTTTGGGAGGCTGAAGCGGGAGGATCTCTTGAGGTCAGGAGTTCAAGACCAGCCTGGCCAACATGGAAAAAACCCCATCTCTACTAAAAATAAAAAAAATTAAAAAAATAAAAAATAGGTGGGTGTTGTGACGCATGCCTGTAATCCTAGCTACTTGGGAGGCTGAGGCAGGAGAATCACTTGAACTCAGAAAGTGGAGGTTGCAGTGAGCTGAGATTGTGCCAGTGCACTCCAGCCTGGGCAACAGAGTGAGACACATCTCAAAAAAAAAAAAAATGATATTGTAATTGGTGATACTATTTTATCACAAAATATGAAGACCTCCAAGGCTGAAGAATGGGTTTGAACAAGTACAAGTGCCATCACTGTTTTGGCGAACTCACAGTCAAGGGAATGTAAGACATCCTCTTGTGCATGAATACATGCTACTACGGTCAAATGGAAAAGCATGATGGTAGTAGGAGATGTTGCTCCAACCAGTATTCTCCCAGCAAAGGCTACTTCTCAAGACTCCTTCAGGGCACTCTGAGAAGGCATGCAAGTATACAAATTGATGTGCTAAATGGGCTTGGCTGCAAATCATGCTTTTGTGCATGGATCCAGCTGAAAGTTGTCTCTGAATCTATCAGGCCTTCCCAGGGTTCCTTGAACCAGTGCAGAGAGAGTCAGGGAGCATCATGACAAGAACATGGATTCAGGGTCAATTAGACTTGGGCTCAAACTCTAGTTCCACCAACCACCTCCGTGGCCAAGTGGCTCTGGATAAGTCACATGGCCTCGCTAGGAAGAGGAGTATGAGTCCATCAGCTTTGCAAGGGGCTGGCAGGATGAAATGTCCAATGTATTCCCAAGAGTCAAGCATTGTGCTGAGCTGACCTTTCCATTGCAGTGATAAACCACTCAAATCCTCTACTCCACCCTAGGCCGGGGGACAAACAATAGAAAGTGAGAATCATTCTGAAGACATTAATATGAAATGCTTGCATATACTTAACCAAAATAGGGCCTTAATTTAAGCATCTGGAAGAGCTAAACTGCACTTCTAAAGTAAGAATTCTTAGATGTCAAACGTATTCTATTTTATGATGTGTATAATTCTGCCTCTTCTATGTTGTTAACTTGTAGAAATTGTGCACATGATTCATCTCTTCTAAAACCACACACGCTGGCCATGCACAGTGGGCCTCCCAGGGGCTGCCTCCTGCTCCAAGAGCCTTCAGTCCTGAATACATAAGAGGTAAAGGCCAAGGGCTTAGAGTTGCAGAGGCCTTAGAGCTCACCCGTCAGCCTCCTCACCGAAAACGGAGGCTTAGAGAGGGGAAGTTGCTTGCTGAAAGTCAAACAATGAAGGCCTTAGGTAAGGATGTTGAATAAGCTGCTATAAACCAAACCTGTCCACCCCAACCCCCTGCTGCAAACAAACAAACAAACAAACAAACAAAAAAAGGCTTGCCACAGAACCTTATTCCCTGTTATTTCCAATTCTGTAGTCAAATAATGTCATCAGCCCATCTGGTACTGAGTCTGCCCTTCAAGAAAGAAATTTTACTTCAATATCACAACAGAGGGAAACCCACTAATAATGGGTTAGTGTCATTTACTACTTCCCAATATGACATAAGACCTAGTTTCTCATATGCCTGGGGTTGGCAAATCTGAGAGACTGGAAAATAAATAAATAAATAAATCATCAAAAGAACCCTCAGAACATTGATACATGTGACATTTGTTGTCCCATGATAACAGACACCATGCTGGGACAGGAAAGTTAGCAAATCAAACATTTTAGCACATGTTTTAGAGAGTCCACTAGGCCTCCTACAAAATCAACTTCTCCATTTAAATTTCTGAGCACAATGATCTCTAATCATATTTTAAAAGGTGATAGCCTACACAGAGCATGATTTACCAACACTGAAGTGGAACTGGGTCCCTGTTTATAAGTCTCCAGCTGCTAATCCTCACTGATGCCTAATTCTGGTTCCATCTGTGGGAATAAGGGAATAATCTATTTTGAATGTGCTCATTTACAGACCAGGTTGTACTGAGGCTAATTTCCAGTTCAAACGCACATCAGGGCTTCAAAGCAGTTTTGTACCCTCAAAGGAGACTACCATCAAGACCAGAGTAGGACAGAAGCCTACAGGAGGCGTGAAATCAGGGGACCTCACGTTTTTAGGATGAGAGACATCACAGAACCTGTCTAAAGGTGGAGGGGAAGGAACCAGGGGAGGCAGCTGAATGTCCAGTTGAAATTCCAGAGGACAGAGGTTGTCATTTTCAGGGGGTAACACAGGGATGAACCCCAGAGCATTGCTAGAGAGAAGGGGAGGGGAGGTGGGAGGGGGGCCCAAAGGAAGGAGAGGTAAGGAAGGAAAGGAACGGAGAAAAGAAGGCAGGCAAAAAAAAGGGCCATGTGCAGAGATATTCTGAAGGAAGTTTAGATGACATGAGGCATGGAGGGAAGGAAACGTGGATTAAAAAGGACCTCTTCACCAAACAGTTTGGAATTTTCACAGAGAAGTTCTGCTCAAACACGTAATTATACATTGTAAGTATACCACTCAGGGACTGGACTTTGCTGAAAACATTTTTAATTAATGTTTTCTCTTAAGGAGCGTGCTTAATTCATGATGGAGAAGAAAGAGATCATTCCATTAGACTGATTTTTGTGGAGTAACAAGTCAAAACTACTTAAATCCCAGTCTTTAACAAAGTGAGAGATATCCACGTGGGGAAAAAAAAAAAAAAAAATCCCTGCTAGCAAAGAAAAACTCAAACCCTAAATTAGCAGGTTAATTCACAGTGTGGACATAAGAAATAGCATACTCAGTTTGATATTTGGTTGTCAACGTGAGAAAATAAAGCACACTAAATTCTATAGAATAAGCTTTTCCAACCCCAGAAATTACTAGGAACTCAATAGTTTTCTTGGCTGTAACAACTTGTAAATATCTAGAAGAGCCCAGATTTTGAAGCCCTGAGGACACTTGCTAAAACTAAGAAATTTGGCACTAGTCTTTGCACACAATTTGGGTTTTCTTTCAGAGTTGATATCTTACCAAATACAGCCATCTGTGTTCCCTCTGGGAAAGGTTCGACTGTTCTGTTGCCATTGACATGATGTTTGGCTAGAAAAAAAAAAAAGAAAAAGAAATGCAAGTTTAAGTGTAAAGTTCTAACACATACTAACACATGTCATTAAATGTGTCAATGAGCCTATTTCTCCTTTGAGTTAAAAATGCACCCCAGCTTACCCTCTGAAGAGAGCTTCAATCGTTTTGTTTTTAATCTCTGTTGCAGAAGGGCCTAGAGATCATCTAGTTCAGGTATGTCATTTTATAAACGAGCAGGCTGAGGTCTGAGCTTGTGCAGAGCTGGACAATGGGTGGCTACAGACCCAGCCCAGCCTGAAGGCTCCTGATATCTGGCCAGAGTCCCTCTTGTGCCAGGCCATTTCTAGAAAACAAGGAAAGCTCCAACTTCCAGGCTGAACTGGGAGTGGGTCTCCCTGAAGACTCCTAACAATCAGAACACTGATGCACTCGGTATTTAAAGTGAGAAGTAAAAAGGGCAAGGTACCATTGGAACCAATTTTTCGAGAAACACAATAGCAGAACATGTCATTTCACTATAACACAAGCATTGTTCACCCAGGCCAAAGACACCGGCCTTCTTAAGGGCCAGAGAGATATTCCAGTGCCTCCAACTGCTCCTTATCCCCCCAGGTCCTTCTAACCAGTCACCCTTCCCACCCTAGTAGACATCAAGGACTCAGAAGTAATAAGTGACCAGGTTATTGTTTTCCAGCATTAACTTGATCTTACAATCCCCCAAACTGTGATCAATAGAGAATATGAGTATTCCCCATCTATGAGCATTTTTTAAATAATATCCTCAGCAAGTTTTGAATATGAGCACTTATGTGGAAAACACAAAAGACAAGGATAGCTAAGACGCTTCACACTGCATCATGGGCACAGACGCTTTGATGTAATGGGTCACACTGGATTGGCTGGGCTCAGGCAAAGGGCTCAACACTGAAGCCAGGCTCGGAGGGGTCTAGGGAAGGATGACACGGTTCCTGCCCTCAAGGAGAGTACAGTTATCTTCAAGAAATAACAATTGCAAAAACAAACATTAAAGAAGGCATATAATTATGTGCTAAGTCCTGCCGTGTGGACGGAGAGTTCTGCAGGAGTGCAGGAGATTGTAGCAGGAGAGCTGCTGGGTGGGAAGTCAGACGTGCTGCCTGAAGGCACTGCCACTCCTGGAGTCCAAAGGAGAAGTCAGGTTTGCAAAGGCGAGGGTGAGGGAGCAACTTGAGTGAGGGCCAGGAGTCATCTTCCTGGGCCAGAGAATAATCTGTCTTGGTGGAGTGGAGGTGTTATTTTGAGAAGCAATGGCAAGTAAATCTCTTAGACTGAGACCAGGTCATGGAAGATCTTGAGCACCCATCCAAACCCATGGGAACCACAGGCAGCCTCTGCAGTACTGATGCACATCTTTTAGAGCCTGAGGCTTTCAGGGTTCACTAGTTCAGGTAGCCCTTAGGGATTCCATCAGTTCCCTTCTGGGGCTTCCACTAGTTCTGAAGTTATTGTGGCATTCCTACAAGCAGAAAGCCTGGGAAAAGGGAGGAGCTAGCCCAGGGTTCTGAGGGCACGGTGGTGAGCTCAGTGGCCTGAGAGAGGTTTGTAGCCACTAACTGGCATGATTAGCAGATGTGTGATGGAAGGTCCTAGATGTGTGACAGAAGGACCTTGTCAAGCATTCACTCATCTGGTTAGAACCACTGGTTACTGAATTCAAAGAAACATGCTGAGCTTCCATGTGGAGATCAAAGATCTGCCCTTTGGTTCTTGCCTCACAGCCCTGTCAGTGGTTTGGAAAACATTTGCTTGACCCATATCACAAGTCAGAAATCTATTCAAACTCTTTAAACCCATGAATCCCACTTGTAAGAATTTTATCTTAAGAAAAAAATGCAAGAGAAAAAAAGGCGATATACATAACATTTATGAAAGTATTACCTGTATTAATAAAATCTTAAAATCAACTAAATATCCAAAAGTAGAGAAACTGCTTAGAAAATTGTCATTTATGATTTATCAAATGAATGGAATATTGCCAAACATATTTTAAATGCAGCCTTGAGAGAGATATAGAAATGTGGGAAAACATTTGGGATAATGGTAAGGAAACACAACCCTATTACGTCTTCTACGTAGATTATAATGACAACTAATTAAAATACGAATATTTATGGGAAACGAATGGCAGGAGAACATAAAAATGAAAATAGAAAGACTATGCAAGACATTTATTTTTATTAATTTCCTCTGTCATTGTTAGATTCTTTTCTTATTGTCTAGGGTGAAAATGTTTGAATTCAAAAAATCAAAATTATAGATTTTTCTATTTTTTCCACAGCAGTTGGTTTCCCAGGACAATCCATTGAGGTCTGTCAATGGCCCAGCTGAAACCCACATGTTCCCAATCCAAAGTGCACCCTATCTGACATCTCCTCTGAACACCGCAACACCACACAGGATGTCCTCCCACCCTAAAACGGCTTCTCTGCCAGCATCCCCCACCTTTGGGAACAGGCCTGCCATGCTCCTGCTTTTTAGCTGTCCTTATCCCTTCTTTTCCCTTCACTCCCCACATCCAATCTGCCACCATAGCTAGTGACTGTCCCCTCCCAGATACCTGCAGCATCCCCCTCACTTCTTTTTTCACTACCCAAGCCTCCCTATCCCCAAGTATCATGACCCCTTTTCCTGGACTCCAACATCTGCCTTCTAACTCTTCTATATCCCATGTCCAATTCATTTTTCCCAGTGTAGCCACAATTATCTTTCCAAAGGGAAAAACATCTAATCATGTGACACAAACTCCACGACCCCTCCTCTCCTTCCAAGGCGCCCCACGACTCTGAGGCCAGAGTCAAAGCTCTTCGGCATGGCCTGAAAGCACCTGCTCAGTCAGAACACCAGCATCCCTCATCCATCCACCACAGCCACCCTGGTCTCTTGGGACCAAGGGCCTTTGCTCTGCAGCACTCACCCAAGTAGCACTTTGTGCTTATGCCATTGTTTGGACAGGGACTGCATCTATCAGTAGACTGCAAGCTCAGGAGGGCAGCGGTCGTAGCTCTTTGACTCCCCATTTCCATAATCCTCTCTCAGTGTATGGACACAGAACAGGCATTTGATGAGTAATTTTTAAATTAGCGAATGAGGTAAATGGTACTAAAAAATCTCTTTAGCCATTATGAAAGATAATTTACTTGATAAGTTAAAAATATAGATACACAGTTATGTCTCACTTAACAACAGGGATACAGTCAGGGAAATCTATGTGTTGTTAGGTCATTTTGTCATTGTGCAACACAGAGTGCACTTACACAAACCTAGATGGTAGAGCCAACTACACACCTAGACTATGGCTATGTGGTATAGTCTACTACCTCTAGGCCATGACCTGTACAACATGTGACTATACTGAATACTGTAGTCAACTGTAATACAATGGTAAGTATTTGTGATCTAGATATCTATAAGCACAGAAAAGGTACAGTAAAAACACAGTATAAAAGATTTAAAAAAAAGATACACCTGTCTAGTGTATTTATGACACATGGAACTTGCAGGACTGGAAGCTGCTCTGGGTAAGCCAATGAATGGTGAGTGGGTGTGAAGGCCTAGGCCATTACTGAACACTACCATGGACTTTATAAATATCACGCACTTAGGCTACATTCAATTTTTTTTTTAATTTTCTTTCTTCAATACTAAATTAACCTCAGCTACTGTAACTTTTTACTTTATAAACTTTTAAACTATTTTTTACTTTTCGACTCTTATAATAACACAGCTTAAAACACAAGCACATTGTGCAAGTATACGAAAATATTTTTATATCTTTATAAGCTCTATTTTTAAAATTTTCATTTTTTACTTTTTAAAATTTTCTGTTGAAAACGAAGACACAAATGCACACACTCGCCTAAGCCTGATCAGAATCATTAATATCACTGTCTTCCACCCTCCACATCTTGTCCCACTGGAAGGTCTTCAGGGGCAATAACACACTTGGAGCTGTCATCTCCTATGGTAACAACGTCTTCTTCTGGATACCTCCTGAAGTACCGGCCTCAGGCTATTTTATAGTTTTTTATTACTGCAGGAGCACACTCTAAAATAATGACTGAAAGTATATAGTCATCTATGATCATTATCAATTATATACTGTACATCATCAAATGTGCTGAACTTTTCTATGACTAGCAGTGCAGTGGGTTTGTTTACAACAGTATCTCTTCATGCCTCTGTGTCCTCATCTGTAAGAATTTCTTCATTGTAAGTTTCCTCATTTGTACTTACCTCATGGGGTGTTTTGAGAATTAAATACAAAAAGCACTCAGAATGGTGTCCAGTACATAACAATCTCTATATAACAGTTAGGCTGGTATTATCACCTGTGTGTGAAAGTTTACTTTCTAACAGGTCTGTTTCAGGAATGGCAAATACACATTAGTCACCTCCTCTCCAAGACCATAATCATGGCAGACATCACTAATCAACCACCGCACACTTTCTTGATCCTTGAATGTGACCACAGAATCTTTTCTCAACACAGTACCCATATAGTCTCTTATCGCTTAGAGGTGGCACATGTGATGAAATCACTTTGCCATTCAGGTTTAAATGGATAAAAAACAAAGATAGCACAGGGGAAGAAGTATTTTCCTTCTCATTTCTACACTGTGATAAAAACCCTCTGAAAATCCCCCACACTATATATTGCTCTAGGGACAAAAGAATAAGGGGAAATCTGAGAGCTACTTTCCATTCCATAATGAGAGAATAGCAAGTTCTTTACAACCAAGAAATGACAGCTCTATTCCTAGAAACCAAGGTGGAGTTTCTAATGACATTTTCTCATTGAAACTCTGCTAAGGCACGTATTTGGGGGCCAAAGAACCAAAGATCCTTTAAACCCTTCGTATAGGTTCAGTAAGAATTGGGGGGAGGGTGGGCTAACCTGGGAACCTAACCCACCATCTACAAATTTGTTTCAAAATCAATGGCATGTTTCACCACAGAAACAAATTTATTAAACAGAA